TGACTATTATACTTTTTAGTATAATAGTCCAAGATCAAGGCATATACATGCATAGCTTTTTTTCTTTTAAAAGAATAATTTTATGTAATTCATTTTGTCTGTGTTTGAGGTAAAGCTTTATTTAGATCCTAGATTCATATGATAATATAGTGACAAACAGTTGTAGAACAATATAAGGTGCCAGACTTACTTGTCATGGTCGCGATGTTAAGACTCTATAGATGTGTAGTAGGTCAAGTCAAAGGAGAGACGACACTCTACACGCAGATTTCTCTCGGTCGCAGCATGGAAGTATTTTACTTCCATGCTGCGACCGAGAGAAATCTATTATACTTCCATGCTTCGACCGAGGGAAATCTGCATGCAGAGTGTCGTCCCTAAATATATTATTTCCATGGTCGCAGTGATATGTGTCATTTGTTACTAGCCCGTCATGGTGTGAACATAGATTTAATAGCGATGGCTATTATATCAATGGTGTGAACATCAAATTTTTTTGTTTGAAATTATAAACATGAGCAGTAATACACAGTTGTAATTATTATACAATATTCATACATGATAAACGAATTTGGTAATTGTCATTTTTTTTTGCGGGGAATACAATAATTTGTCCCGTTATTTAACTGCTAAATCCGGTGGACTTACCGGTATTTCGTACGACATGTAGTGTACATCATGTACTTAAATCAAATCAAATACACGTTTTGTTTATTCTTTGAATTGAGTTTCAGTTTTTATTCGGGACAAAATTTTATTTGATACGAAATTATCAATATTTGAATTGTTGCATTTATCAGTACAAAAAAAAACACTCACACAAAAACGTTTTATCGGCTTAATATGCAGCAACGAATATAGACTTATTGAGACCTGTTATGTTCAAGGTTGTATGAACAAAATACTCTTTTACTAGTATAAACTGCAATGATTTTTACATGCAAACTAAAGAAATATTAGCAAAAATAAATGCCTTGTATTTTAACACAGATCGAACACAAAGTCCCGTCACTATGGGAGATTAATGTAATTTTTCAAAAAGAAGTAAAAAAATATTAAATATCTTATGTAATAGTTATTTTCGATCTTCAATACATCTTTCTATGAGAAAAGTTTTAATGAATGCAATAGAGTACATTTGATATTCCAAAAAAAATATGCACAAATCGATCTATTTCATTATATAAAATTGCCAAACGCGGGTTCTGAAATCGTACCACGTGATATGAAAAGTTCGCACGCCTGACCTAGGGTGTCTTCCGTTCTCTAAAACCAACTATACAAATACAAGAAATACCAGATCTGCGACTTTTGGTATTTATATTTACTCTTATTACTCTCATTTAATATTTTATGCATAAGTGCAATATTGGGAATGATTTATTTCCCAACAAGCTAACTAAATAAATTAATTAACCCTCTAGCTGATCAGACGTTAATACAACTACTATCAGTCTATACGGAGTGAAGTATCTTTATTTCTTCAAATAGGCTTTTTGGGGATCATTGTACGTCCAGTGGCATATATTACATGCATGTCGGAACAGGAAAATTGACAATAGGTACTGTTAGAACCATGTTCACATTATTATACATTATAGCCAACAATTGTGATGATGACGAATTTCTTAAAACTGTTCGAGAACAATCTAATTGAAATATTAATCTGTGATTTTACTATATCCATAATTTCGACGAACCACTCCGTATTATATAAGCGGCCTCGGTGGCCAAGTAATCTAAGTAGTCGGACTATTGTGTCACTAGCCTGTCGAATTCTGCACTTGGCAGGAGCCCTTGACTCCAATCCTAATTGTTTGTTTTCATACCGAAGGTCTGCGGTTCTATCCGGTCACTCCAGCTTCCTCCTCAAATAAAATAACCGTCACGATATGGCACAATAGTGCTGAAAGTTGCGTTAAACACCAACAATTAATCAATCAATCAGTATTATTTTACCAATGTATCGAGATTGTTTTGTAACAAACGAAAAGTTTTCTGTTTTTATTAACACCGCTGGGCTTCCACTTGAATTTCACGGGAATTTATGGTCTTTACTTTAGTCTTGTGTTGTCATCCGTATCAATAAAATCGCAAATTTGAAATGAGATTCAAAAACGTCTTGGATAAGTGAGAGATGTATCTATGCCAGAACAGTAGTATCAAATATACAGTATTAAATAGTTTTAAAGTGTCCGAATCACTTGCAACGGATGAAAAGATGAATTACGGACTAGATTTGATTTGGCAATCTTTATGATTTTTTGAGACCTTTATGTTTTAAGCGATTTCATGTATGGACTACTAGCCAAAATAATTGCATGCATTTTTCTTTATTATATGTCCTTTTGGACACGAAAAGCTTATTTCAATATAACATGGATTTGTATTTGTAGCTTAAAAAATCCTTAAAAATAAATTAAAATTGAGAATTTTTATAATACACAAAATGTACATTCTACACAGATACCGACATTTGTTCATATCAATTTTTGTTTAATTACGGAATTTAACCGCACATCTCTGCCGCACATCATAAAAAAAATCTAAAATATGTTTATTTCAGTTATCCTTGAATGTAGTTCGGACACGGTTGAATTGACAGGTCTACATTCACCTTTTGTCATTATTTGAACGATTTGTATGATATAAATTTGATTACAGAACCTGTATTTAAATAGTCTTAAACTTTCATGTCGTTTATAGACAATTTCCTTAGTGCATAATGACTTTTAATGAATAATTCTTCTTTCTCAAATCTATCACGGCAATACAGTTTACTTTACGAAGGACTTGTATAGTAGGATATTACTATACAAATCCTTGACCGTGGTTTTACAGAGTTTGTCAATACGTTCAGCTTTTCACATGTGTAGCTAAAAATACAATAAATTCATACATATATCACGTTGGTACCCAGCTGTATCTAGGTTGTATTCACGATACACGTGCGTTAATATTACCTGGTGGGGTTTAGTAAGTGCCCATCTTCTTTATAAATGTATTGATTTTAATTAAGGTTTCCATGTTTGCAAAGCTTAAAAACTAAAAGTTCAAATCTAAATCTAGTATATAAAAAAATATTATGTCTTAATATCTAATAGGGTCACAGCCCAAAGCTGCGCAGACCATCCTGGAGCCTCTCTTTAACTTACGGGACAACTGCATTTAAATCATCGTCGCGTAGAATTAAGTAAAAATTAAAAGCACATCATGTTCTGCTGTCGAGGTTAGGCTTTATATTTTATGCCGAGTGACTATTTAGTTATAAGTCAAAGTGAATCAATTTATGCTTCCCACTTGTATCTTAAAATTTGTTTTAGAACCACTGAACAGAAGGGAAGCAAACTTGATAGATATTTCTTCAACAGGATTGTTTTCTGGTTGATATTTCAATTTTGATTGCCAACAAACCATTGCTGCTTTTGCCTATTCAAGACTTATTTTCAAAAACCAAGCATAGCAAATATATTCCTTTAATGGTTCTTAGCAAGTGTTGTTATTTTGGTGCTAATGAAAAATTCAAAATAACTCCCTATAGAGGTGAAAACTTTCTTTGAAGCTAAAAATATCAAATTCTGTATATGCTACATTCTGTATAAGTTATTTACTTATTGCTTTTAATCTGATATTGATGAAAAGACTTGTAGGGCACCAATTGGGGTAAAGAGGTAAAATTAGTCAATAGATCAATTACAATAAACTAAACTGATATCCTCTAAGAGTCATTAAGGGCATACGATACAGAAAAGGTCACTCGTTTTTTTGGGTTTTTTTTGTTTTTCTTTTTTCACAATTTTTATTTGATACAAACTATCGAAATATGGAAAGAAAAATACACAAACATGACTTATTTGTCAAGATACTTTAGCATGAAATACCTGTGTCATTTAAGAACATAAAATTTCAGTATTTCATACTTTTCCGAAAAAATAACACAACTTTCGAATGGAAATAGATATTTTCATCTGTTTGTTTGGAACGGTCCCTTTATCTAAAAGAAAGGGAGGTTTACTGCATTAACATTTTTTTGCAAAACATACAGTTATATTAACAAAAAGCCATAGACATTTGTTTTGCTAGTACAAAGGCATATAGAAAAAATTCTATAGATGAACTTTTTCTTACAAGTTTAATACAACACTTTTAAGGTATAACATAGTCGATTGCAAACGATGAAATCGGGGTTCATGTGCTTCTTTTTTTTTGCTAGAAATAGAAAACTTTTAAATGCTGGAAATCCCATTTCCCTTTATAACACCAAATTAAGTTGCAGTGTATTCCTAATGCAGCATCGTCGTACACCAAAACGCAATTTAAATAACTGTCATGTATGAGATTATAGATGATAGAAAATAAAATTGTATCCCCTCACAGGAGATTTGGTGTGCTTGAATATACATAATATTCGTTTTCCATTACATATATTTTGAAATTCGCTTAACCGATTTGATGACGTTAGTGATTTATTTCGCGAGTTTTGTATGCTTATCATTAGGCAACGTTCCGAAAACAAAGTTAAATTTTGTGCATTATTATCTGCTACTGTATAGTATTCCATTAACAATCTAGATTTTAAATGATTTGAACAATACACATCGATTTAAAAAACAATATTACTCACCTTTCTCTTCATAAGCAGATGGCAAGGAAAATAATCAAATTGTGACTTTCGAGAAGGACTTAATTCAATCTTTGGATTTGGATACTAAATCGAAAAAGTAAAATTGTCGGACATTTTCTGCTTTAGATGTTGAAACTCTCTTAAGCTATACAGCACATATTTTGTTATCAATCTTATTAATAAATGTAAAATGTGAACATATTTTTTGTTTCTCTATAGGGCAGAACAAACCTTTTCTCTCCAAAATTGAAGGTAAGGAATTTAACACATTGCCATTGATGAAGCTTGACCTTTCTATCTTAAAATGTTGTTTGCCTAACTTAATTTTGACTTACTTACATTTTATTAAAATAAAATATATGAAAAATATAAATACCTCCAAATTTAAAACACCCACTTAGCTGTATGTAATGCAAAAATCATTTTCCTTCACTTTTTTCAAATCTTGGCCTACAAAAAAGGAAATAAGAACATAATCGACATTAAATACTTGAGGACATCTGTTAGTAAGCTTTCAAACAATAATCAGTACATTTCGCATATTTAATCTTCTTTTCATAGAGGCATTTATATTATTAATTGAAAGAAGATTATTATCTGTCACGTATGTGGATTAGGGTTTTTAATGCCAGATTTAAATAGGGCTTTTCATGTAAGAAATTGATAATTATACCCTCCGCAAAAAAAGTGCAGAATGTATAGTGCTTGTGACCATTGTCAGTCCGTCCAAACATCTGTCCACCAGTCGTCGCTTTGGTTTACAAGGATAGCACTTTTGACCAAATGTGCATTGTGAGCTATTGCTACTTTACCCTGACTTTTGGTGAATATATCATATATATATATTTTCGTGTTTTGTCATTTAAAACTATAGAGAAATTGTAAAATAATTGACCAACAAGATTATATTTAGGACCAAAATCGTCAATTGGCCCCCTCCAGTAAATAATATTTGGGTGTTGCGGTAGTTTATCACTTTATGAGCATACTACACACTTATTCACCATTTTTAATTTCTTTTGAACGTTTTCCTGCTCGTGTCGAAGACAACCTACTTCACCGCACACCTTAATCTCTAAACATTTTTTAAAACATTTTGGAGATTCCGAATCAGCAGAATAGTCTAAAGAATAAAACTCATTACCGGGTTAGTATTTACATGAGAAACACCACGGGTGTTACATACGGAGCAGGATCTGCTCGGAAGTATTATTGCTTTGTCTTCAGTTTTTAATGTGTTTTGCATGTTTTGTATACTGTTGTTTGTTTGTCTTTAAATAGATTTTAGTTTTAGCTTTGACATTGTCAGCTGTATTTTTTTTTTCTCGACATATGAGTTTAAATAACCTGTTGGTGTCTTTTGCGTCATATTTAGCATCATAAGGGTATTTAAGACTCTGTGCTTAATTTTCCTTTAGCTATGTCAAAACACCATTATTAATGTAAATAGAAGTATACTTGGAAAAAATACTGTAAGGTTACGTTTACCTTGATGATGGTAATGCGTCAAGCTTAATACAAATAGATTTACCTTAAGTATTCAAGAAAGTTCCCGCAACAACGGTTACCAAAATTCCTTCAGACTTAAAAATCCTATATGTTTCTAAACATATTATGTTTAATTATGAAAATATAAGTCCATTATAGAAACTTAACATTAAGACTGAAGGTCATTTGAATTGCGTAATTTAATTAGTAAAAATAATTACCATGAAGTAGGTCAAGGTTTCACACGTCATTACAGTATTGATTTTATTAGGTTAATGAAATAAGATATACTAGTACTAAAAAATTGAACGGGTTTAACTGATAAACTTATATTTAGCAATGTTTAGATGGATAACCATCTTAAACATTTATTTGTTTTTTTACTATTTTTCTTAAGGTATATTGCAAACATTATATTTCATTTCATTGATCGAATAAATCAATACCTTAAGCAATTCATAAAACCCCATATAAATCAAAATATATTACGATATATCTTATTGATATGGCATAGACCAATACAATATCTTAATATGAAGATTTTTGAAATGGGCAGATGATGAATAAATAAAATATTTTCTTTAAATAAATATTGCGAGAGCTCTCCATATATACGCAAATTTCAATTCAAATATTCGACACTATGGAGTGATTATTAATGTTTAAATAATGAAAAAAAAATCATTTCAGTTGCATGTTTAACAATGTGTAATTCTTGATTGAGAATCTACAAAATACTTGACAATCTCATTTCAAATTGTAACAGTCGTCGATGGTATATGATTGGTTTTAAATCAATATTGATATAGTCCTAACAAATGTACATGTAAATGAGTCTAATAGTTTGTTAAAGATAAAAGTTGCACTTAAAGTTAAAATTGCATCAATTTTCGTGGCACAGAAATACACAAATACAGAATTAAAGTATATAATGAATTATATTTGGTCTGAATTGATACGAAAAAGAGAGGCGAAGGATAGAAACGGACACTTAATCTCCCAAACTGAAAACAAACTGACAATGCCATTGGCAACAAAGAAAAAGACAAACAACAAACGACAGCACACAAAACACAAAATATAAAACTGAAGAATATAAACACGAACCCCACCAAAACCAGGGAGTGATCTCTTGTGCTCCTGAAGGGTAAGCAGATCCTGCTCCACATGTGGCACTCGTTGTGTTACTCATGTAAATACAAATCCGGTACTAAGTCTAATTAGGTATGTCACATTCGGGGAAAAGGAGTTTATTCCTTTATTTGATTCGATTTGCGGTTCATTTTAAACAAATATTGATACAACATTTATATAACAATTGTTTAAATAATAAGAATAAGAAGATTTGTTATGATTGTGAATGAGACTATTTTTTTTACTTACGTGATACGCAATCAAAAGGTGGAAATTTAAACAATCATATAACTAGTTGATTTTGACATGCTGTTTCATTATTAAGCCTTTAGACGGATTGCAAGGACAACCCCGAACCTTAAAACCATAAATTCCTACCAAAAAACATATTTGTGTGCTGCTGAAATATTTTATAATAACAGATTTTTTATGCAGTCTTTACATAAATTGTCATGGCTTTAAATAATCATATTTTCATACATTGTGACCTATAAATAATGGAGATATGGTGCAACATATATACACAATCAATATTAATGGCGAAATGTATCTGATTAAGGAGCTCAGTTACCATCTCTTCAGTGCTGGTTGACCCTTTACTAAATCAAGCAAAGGCATATCTATATTTCATTGAATAATTTGGTATTTGACCTGTTGAGAATTTGATTGTTGTTATGAAAGTAAAGTCCTGGGAAAAATTCGACAACTATTAAATTGTGTTGGTTTTTAATCATAAGGAAAATATTATACACAATAATTGTACGTAATTGGTATTATTTATTTTTACTTAACCAGTTTTGTACATCACATTGTACGTATAGTGTCTGTTCTGTATAATCGATATCATATACTATAAACAACTATCGACAATATATTAAAGATCCAAGATATAACGGAAGAACAAATTATGTGAAATCGACTAAAAACAAAAAGTTAAATAAAATAATTACCAAAAAAGGAAAATTCTAAAGTCAGGTATTAAATGGCAAAATCAAAAGCTCAAACATATCAAACGAATGGAAAACAACTGTCATTTTCCTAACTTGGTACAAGCATCTCCTTGTGTAAATCAATCTATTGAATGTCATTCTAGTCATTATATACTAGCTTGGTTTAGTAATCTAATTTCATGTAATACATTATATATTGAATTTCTATCGATTTCCTAAAGCGGAGTGCTAGAAAAATGAGCAGTTGTTCTAAAATGCCTTAATCTCTCAAAATTTACGGATGATATCGATATACGTGCTAACAACATGAGTTTCTTTGATAACGTTAGTGCCTATGGCAGTGGATTCTGAAATGACACTGGGTGCTCTCACATTCATGTTTTACCAAACCAAATTCCTTATAACAAAGGTAATAAGCCTGTTTTCCAGTGGTTGTTGTCGATTGCTGTCTGTCTTATTTGTTTCTCTGTTATTGTTTTCAGCATAAACCTTGTCCTTGGTTTTCTGTTAAGAATTCTTTAAAATTTTGTCAACCTATAGCTGTTAACATCTTCGCCCTTTGTTTCTGGTCGAAATATATCTCTTTCATAAGCATGCCACATCTTTTTTTAAATACATGTGTTGTTAATGAAAATCAAGTGCTCTCTAAAAACTGGAAGGAAAGTTTGTACTAGTTATCACATTATTATTTCACAGAGATTCATGTATAACTTGCAGTACTTTGAATCTATCATCATATTTCTAGTCGGCAAGTGTTATGGTAGATGAAACACTGTATTCTATTAACCACTATTTAGAAGACACAGAATGGCTGGGAAAAAAGTCATATCCAATTAAAATGGCGGTAAAAGGTCAAGTATGCACAAAACAAGCACTTAAGCGCATATAATTATTACTCTGTAACAAGAACCTAAATATAATTCTCTAAACTGTAGGTAAAAAGTTCTAGAAAACAAACTGTAAAATCTTATACAGGTGTATCAATCATGCTTAGTTAGCTTCCTGCAGTAAGGGGAACATGTCGACCCTGTTTTCCAAAATTATGCGCCGTTTCTTATTTTATTGTTCGAGTTAATCATCATTTACTGGATTTAAGTAAAAGTAAATTACTAAGTAATCTTTAAATAGTTTTACTACATTCAAGTAATTTAGTTTTAATTAATACTATGCGTTATAACTTAAATCACGTAAAAAATCGATTTGGTATTTTTAAGTAATTCCCTAAGCATAGTTAGTAATACTTAGTAAAAGTAAGTAATTGTAAGTAAATTAGTAAGTAATATCATTACTCAAAATAAGTAAAAGTAATTTTTTTAGAGTGTGCACTGTGCGGCTTTTTTCTTTTGTGGTTTAGTTTATGACATATGTTCTTTTATCTTTACATACAGGATGAATCGTCTTATTTGTAATTCTAACGATTGCGTCCTATTGTCGATTATGACACTTTGAGTGAGTAAGGATTCATATTGAGGTTGATGCATGCATAACAGGTGGATAACAGGTGAATAAAAGCTGGTGCTTACCCTATCGACGCATCAAGTCTCGCTCATGTTTGGGTTAATGCGATTCCCTTTGTTAGTTTTGTTTTTTTTGGTTATTTTTTATTATGTTAACTTGATTTGTCTTCTGTTGCCTATATTTAACCACAACGCATGAATTTGATTTAGTCTTTCTATCTGGACAATGAGTTGTTTGTTGTTACCTGTCTTTGGATTTTTAGGAGAGGTTGGGTGTAAGTCGTCTATGTGCGATGTTGTACTCTCAAGTATTATTGTAATTCCTGTTATCTGTGTAATGCTTTATGTGTATTGAAAAAAATGGTAATCTAGTTTTTTTTAGCATTACACGAAAAAAATGTAAATACAATGAAAAACACCTATCTGGTATCTAAATGGCATAACGGTCTTTCCGTGGATGCATTGACTTCCAGTCACTTTATTTCAAATCAGAAGTTGATACATCTGGTAACTTTTAAGAGGATCTATTTTACTAAAACAACTCATTATCATTCAACGAATAGAAAATAGTTATAATTCGACTTATGTAAGGAAAAGGATATATGTGGTAAACATAAACGTGACAGAAACTCAACGATACAAATTGAAAAGAGGAAAATAGTCAAAGTAGATACAAATGCCTTGTTTTATTGGAAGATAGATCTTTCTTTGTTAAAATAAATCCATTTTAAGCAAAACAATTCTTAAAAGTGATATCATATCTATATTCAATGCTATCCAAAAAATGAATGATTTGATCATTTGATTGGTCTTATGCTAGGTAATCTTGATAGTCTAGAGTGATGAAGTACCTGGAATTTGGAAATAACTCTTTCTCTGCCAGGCACATGGTGTTTATAAATTTGAGAGCTGTTCAACATGATCGTTATCTGTGTTTTTTTTGTAAACTAACAGGTTATAAAAACTCACTCATCTGGTCAGTCTCGTTAAAATCAGTGTTTGATTCAATGACATTTGCCATGGTACTGTCCTGATATCAGATATGGAATTGGTATAGAATTATTATCAACTGCACAAGTCCTGTCTAATAATAAAACTCATGTTGATGTCGATTTGTCTTTGTGAGTTGTATTAATATTCAGTCATGTCCAGTTAGATGTTAGACTTTGGTGCTGATGCCCTTGTCACTTTGCAGAATGTATTTTAAGAATTGTTTATTTGTTTTCATTCTGAATATGTATGCCACTGGACCGAAACAAAAATAATCAAATCAATCAAACGTCTTGTATATTCATATTATATTTGACACTTGGTGTTAAGCACACATATACTAATGAGCAAAGCAAAGATTAGTGATTGTATTTATCCACTGACATGATCTACAGAAACTGCAAAGTCTACTTTATATCTAGACTAATACAATACCGAGATAGATGCAGTGAGAGACCACTACATGTAGTAATTAACTTTATTTTGAGAGATATGATTTGAGCTTTTTATGTTTTAACATTGCATCTGTTCATATGGAGTATACGTCTATCAGTAGATGCAATATTCTAAGCTTATTATTTTTCTAATATTTATAATTCCAATATATTTGAAATATGTCAATACAACTGCCATTCA